GGGGGGGGGGGGGGGGGGGGGGGGGGGGGGGGGGGGGGGGGGGGGGGGGGGGGGGGTCAACGTGAGCAGGCGTTACGCACCCACGGGGATGCGTGTGCCGTTGAGGAGGAACCTCCCGAAGGCTGCGAGGAGGAGCACCATGAGACCGCCGATCAGATTGGACAGGTCTAGGGGGAGACCGAGGGCTCCAATCCCCATCGCCGCCAGAGCAACCGTCACGTTGGCAAGCACCTGCATGTACATTGTAGAGCGTTCGAGTGCACGCCGAATTTTGTATGCATGCAGCATAGGGCCAGCTTGACGGCACTACATGAGCAGAGGTCGGAGTTTGACAATGACGACAACAACAACAACAAGACCAACAGCATCAACAATAACAACAACAACAACACCGACATCAACAACAACAACAACAACAACAACAACAACAACACTAGTACTAGTACTGTGGTAGAAACAATACTTTAACTATCACTACTACTACTACTACTACTACTACTACACAGCGGGGGGGGGCGGCCTGGGGGCATCAAACACCCCGAGTCGCGCCCAGCAGAAAGATCTTCCCACCGAGCGCCGACTTACCCCCCGTACAAGATATCCCGGGTCACACGTCACACGCGAGAAAAGAACCGACTCAACCCACCAGAATACCCGCGAACCACAGAAGACAGCCCGGGTTATCCGGCTCGGAGTTGAGGCCCATCAAAGGGTACCCCATTACAGCGAAGGCTAGCGGCGGCAGTACCCTGATCAAGAGAATGTCCGCCAGCGCCACCTTGAGGGTTCGGCAAAAAAACAAAACAGGCCATCACGACAAGATTTGGCCAATTGCGTAGGAAGTTTTAGGTTCTCGCATGACGTGATAGCTCGATTCCATTGCCCCGAGCCTTCCTTAAGCTTCTCGAAAATAAACATTAATTTTTTCAACCTGGTCAGAACATGATCCGTGGGCGCCACTTGGCATGTTGAACAGCGCGGTCGATGCAAATACTAAAGAGCACAGACACAAATTTCCCATTAAGCGCGTTGTGCAATCTTCGAGTTTTGGTTCCCTTCCATGGAAATTGATAAATACCCGCTGGCACAAACGTCATTTCCATTGTAAACGACTTTTCATTGCCCTTCCAGGGACTTTGATTATTAACCGCCGGCACAAGCGCCTTTTCATTCGTCACTCAGCCGGTTAGAGAGGCCAACACAAAAAACGCAACGAAAAAAATCATACACACCGACGTGAAGTATGGTAGGTGGCCGTACGCTCCCCCCATAGCCTCAGAGAGGAAAAGTCTTCGGTCTTCCCGCCACACCGGCAGCGACGTCAGAGACAGAAGGGCGAGGTACAGGAGCAAGAAGAACAGGACTCCGAACCTGTAGCCATGGGGGAGGCGCCGTGGGATGGGGTTGAGGGAAGAGCAATGAGGCAAGAAGGGAGAACAAGGTGCGGCAACGGGAGTGGAAAGGCACACGTTGGACGTCTGCTTGCCCAGGAAAATATCGCTGTGGAGGAAGAATGTGAGGGGGGTCAGAGCGCGAGGGGTGGGGTAGTCGATCTCGTCCTTTTGCGGGGAACTGGCTGTAAGAAAAGGAGACGGGGCGGGGCCAAGACGACGAAGGGTAAGACACGGCCAACACCGATCGGAAACAAGCTCAGTGCAAACGCATCGAGGCTAAGCGATCTTCTACTCATGACAGCAACCGCTTTCCCATGTAATCTCATATTCACTGCCGCCCCCCCCCGGCGTTGTATCCTCTCTCCGTTCTTCGCACTCTGACTTGCGCTGGCTATCAGAACCATTAGACTGCTCGGTCAGCTGACCGGGCAATGGTTACGCCTTGTGCCTGAATGGTCAAAAAGTTATCCCTTTTCATCTAATAGCGAGCTCGAATGAAAGGACTCGCCTGTCCTGCGCTCCGGCCAAGTTATACCCCAGCCGCCCCTCAAACACGCTAGCGAGGCACAGCGCCATCGCCACGGAACCTCCGAAGTGCAAGACGAGGAGCAACGGGTGTCGCACCGCCCTCAGCAGCAGCCTCCGCGATAACGCCTCCACCTGGACCAGGAAAGGTGCCGAGCTAGTCTCGTCCCCTGCTCCCTTCTTTATCTCCTCAGGCGCAAGCTGCTGCTGCTGCTGCAGCTGTCGCTGTCGCTGTCGCTGGCGGCGTCGCGACGCGCGCCACCTCCCTTCTCTCTCGCCATTCCGCGTGCCCCCCCTCCCGACCTTCACCAACTCCGTCTCCTCTTCCAGCTCGCCGTCGCCGTTCAGCGACCCCGAGATGGACACGTCCACGCCCCCCTCCGCCTTGCTACGCTCCTCCTCCGCCACCTCCGCCGCTGCTGCCCTACCACCGGCGGCCTCCCGCGGAGCCCCCTCCGCCAGCTGAGACCTGCGGAAAAGCGACGGCAAGTCTCGACCGTCCTCCCGGCATACGAGGGACAGCATCGCGTCCGCAGGGTGGGGCTGGTGACGGGGGAACGGCCGTCCCACCGACCGGAAGAACTCCTCCGCATCGCCCGGGCGGCCGGAGTACGCCACCCGCCCCCCGGAGAGGAGGATGACCCGGTCCAGGAGGCTGAACACGCGGGGACGCGGCTGGTGGAGGCTGCATAGGACCGTCGTGCCCCTCGAAGCGACCCCGCTCAGGAGGGTCATCACGCGAAGGGCCGTCGCGGCGTCTGTCGGTTTGCCGGGCAGGGGGGGGTTAAGGATCAACATGATGTCTGCCGGAATACTTATAATGCTGTCAAGGCGTGGGNGGGGGGGGGGGGGGGGGGGGGGGGGGGGGGGGGGGGGGGGGGGGGGGGGGGGGGGGGGGGGGGGGGGGGGGGGGGGGGGGGGGGGGGGGGGGACGGTACCCTGAGCGGGCACGGACATGTATCCGACGCATTATCAGCAAAGTAAGCAGTGAGCCTGCTGCGAATAGCGACGTGCCGTGTGTTGATGTACACCTCGCCTCCCGGGTTGTTGCTACCCCCCCAACTTATCGATCGAAACTCGTTCGCATTCGAGCGCAAAGAGAAGTTCACGAATGACCCATCAAGCTCATACCCAACCCATAAAACGATCTCCAAGCCCACTCACCACCTACAACAAGACTATTTACGCCAACTGCTCGCCAAGACTGGGACATTCTCGCCACAACAACGACGCCACGCACTACTGTACCCCCCCCCGGCCGGTCGTACCTAGCCCGGTTGTCGGTTCGTCCGCAAACAGCAAAGCCGGTCGCGCCACGAGCTCGGTCGCGATGCTGAGCCGTCTCCTTTCCCCTCCCGAGAGGCCCCTCTCGAGCTCGTCCCCTATGCGAGAGTCCGCCACCCGCTGCAACCCCAGCTCCTCCGTCACCCACAGGACGCGCTCCTCCCTCTCGGCGAAGCTCGCGCCGGGAGGCATCCTTAGCCTGGCGTGGAACATGAGGTGCTCGTAGCAGGTCAGGGTCCCCGGCAGGACGTCCTCCTGGGATACGTATCCCCCTACCCTGCGCACCGCTTCGACGCCGTTGCCGTTACCGGTGCCATCGTACGCCAGGGAGACGGAGCCCGTGGTTCGGCCTTCCCCGCGGCGCTTGCGGCCGGCGACAAGGTCGAGGAGAGACGATTTCCCGGCGCCAGACGGGCCCAAGATGCCCGTCATTGTGCTCGGCACGCAGGCCGTTGGCGGCGGCGCCGGCGTTGCAGTCTCATCGCCGAAGCAACCGTTCGCTGAACCGGCAGGAGACACGCCGCGTTTGGTGCTCTGGCCTACCTCCTCTCTGCCGTCCCCACTGTTGCGGCGGGATGCGGCGGCGGCGGTGGCGGCAGCGTCCTGCGGTGGTGGCTCCGGGCCGGCGAAGCCCGACACTCCTTTCAGCACCGCCATCTCTTCCACTCCTCTGCGCTGCCCTTGGCCGCGCACGTAGTACCCGAGCTTGTCCCACCGGAGGACCGCCGGCTGAGCGGGACGCCGCCGCCCTCCCTCGCCACCGCCGCCGCCGCCGTTGGCGGCGCTGCTACTAGAACGGCGCGGCCGCTCGCGACCCAGCAACGGTTCTGAGAGGTTTTGGTCGTCCCACTCCCCGCCACCGTCCCTCTGCTGCTGCTGCTGCTGCTGCTGCTGCTGCTGCTGCTGCTGCTGCTGCTGCTGCTGCTGCTGCTGCTGCTGGAGTAGGTCCGCTGTCTCACCTCCGCTTCTGCTGATGGTGCCATCTTCTTCGTGATGGAGGGCAGGGGTCTGTTCGAGCAGAGGGGTCCCGTAGATTCGCTTTGCACGCGACCTGGCTCGTCCCTTGGCTGTCGCCGCCGTGCCCGGGTCGGAGACGATGGCGAACAGCACGAAGCTCATCACAAGCAGCCCCGCCAGAGAAACCAGTATAGCCATCTGCAAAGGAGAGCGGGGGAGGGGAGGGGGGAAGACAAGACAGATACTTGTAACAAGCAAAATCAGTGTCACCAATCTGGCAAGAGACGGGGGGTGAGCTCCACGAACACAAATCATCGTTCTACAAAGCATGACCACGATAACCGCTAACCTGCACTCCGATGGACCAGGAAGTAGCCTTCATCTTCGACCCAGACGGCTGCACCGGCGCTCCGCCCTGCGAATGGGAAGCGCGGAGTCGATCATGGCGCACGGGTACTTGGTCGGACACATACAACACACGCTTTCCAGAATCACCGTGGTGTGTGAATACGAGGACTACGGGGGGCCCACAAAACAATACCGGCATAATTTCCACTGGCAATCTGTCAGCTCACATGGCCGGCACAAAAAACAGATCGGTGAACAAACACCAAAAAAGCAAACCTTAACACAAGCGAAAAAAAGCACGCCCAAGCATTTTGCCACGACGATCGTCTACAATTCTCGGGCCGCTTGACCAGTTCAGACCCAAAGAATCTCTGCACCTGGTACAGGCAGGACCCAACGGAGCAGGTCATCGATAGCGGCGCGAACCCTCCCGGCTGCTGGTAGTAGCACACGTACGACCCGTTCACCTGGGTTGTCAGAAAGAATTCCACGGTTGGGGGGGGGGG